AGAAAATTGTTTTCTGCCTTATCACTGCTTATGGACTCCAGCAGCAACTGTCATTTTCACATAACATATTGTGCAATACTTTTGAGAAACTTCACATACTGAATTACAAAAATCTAATAGGAGGTATGTTACTGACCTTAATATAATAGTTTGAAAACCAGGTTAACTGAAAATTTGTTAAAAGGCCTTTTAAGGTCCTTTATTCTTTTCCATTTTATTTTTTCATATTCAGGTATCAAGGAAAGACCAGTGCTTACATATCTCCACACTGACAAAGTATTTAAATTTAGCAAATCTGCCTATCTTACTTTAACTAAGAGGGTAAGGTTAAGACATTTATAATTAATCAAGTAATAAAATAAAGTATTAAAGAGAATCTTAGCAAACATTATAAATCAAACCAGTGTATATCAAATTTATCCTGATTTCACACAATGAGATTCAAAAGAGCAACTCCTCTATCAATTTCATAACTCATATTAAGATTTGGAACTTCTCAAGCTTCTAAGAGAACACTGCTAGATTAGAAGTGCTAAAGTAGTACTTATATTCAGAGACACTTGGGACACCTTAGATGGAGAGCTGGACTGGAATCTGTACCTTACAGCTAATCACATCGAGCTGTCTCGCGCCACAGCCAACAGTGTTTGGCTGATGGGTGCAAGATGCCAGTCTGGCTCTCTTTCCACGGTGTCCCAAGTGTCTGTGAATATGACTGAAGGTCTTATGATCAGAAGGTGATATTTCATAACAGGTTTTGTTAGAGCTGTTTGCGCTCTTCTATTTCATTTACTCTTACATTGAAGATAATCTTTACCCTTCTACTTTCACACCAATTTCTTAGCATAAGGTTTTCGTTTACAGTGCCTTGCAAATCATTTGTGATCCAAAGAAATAATATGTAGGTATTATTCAAGACCGTGAAACTGCTATCACTTCTTCATTCAGTTATATCATAAACTTTGACAAAATGAATTCTTAATCATAGAACAATAATGCAAAATATACTTTCCCATAGCTCCTTTTTTGAAAATTGAACTTTTTTTTACCATGGTAAAAGAAAGTTTAAAAAATCTGAATCTGGGGTTGTAAGCAATTTTTTTTTTTTTTTTTTTTTTTTTTTGAAAGAGGACACCTTTTAATTTTACCTTATATTCCTGTTTCAACTCTCCAAAATTTAGCTTTTTGAAAGTTTGAAAAATGTACACTTAATGAGAGATTATAAGCATTTTTTTTTTAATGTATTGAGGAGCTATTCCAATTATATTACACCTTCCTGTATCTAACAATGCACCTTCTCTTACTTATTGGGGGAGAAAAAACATCATAGAATATTTGCTTGAAAGTATAATCATATTTTTTTATGTGGAAAGTATAATATTATTCATCAGGGATAATATATCTAATAATATGACACAGTGGAATTAAATGTTCATAAAATATTTTTCTATGATATAAAAATAACATACAGTAATGGTTAAAAAAACAAGCAATAACATTTCAATTATATATTATGCTTTTACAGGAACTTCTGAAAGGGCTTGCTTGATATTTATTTTCAATGTCACTAGCTATACTTCAGATTTAAATATATTCATGATAAATAATAGATGTGAATTGTGCATATATGTTCTGTAGCTTATGCAATACAAAATCTAGTTGTGCAGGCTAGTTAAACTCTGAACTATAAGAATTCCATTTGCACAATAAAAACAGAATACAAAGAAATGGATATAAATCTTTGAAAATAGCACTGCAGGCACAAAAAAGTTAAGGCACCCTCCATATTCAGTAATACCTAAATAGCACTCAGATATAGTCTTACAACTTTTCTTTTAAATAAATATTTTATATAAATTGGTTTCCTTGGGGGGGGGTAATAACTACAAAATCACATATTGCTGAAATGGAAAATAGGAAATTCAAAAGAATCAACTTAATAAAATAAAATAAGTGATGATCTATGATTAAGTAATCTTATATACTTAATACTAGTAAAATTCATTCTTACATAGATAAAGGTGCATATATAATAATTTACTCCTATGTAAAAACAGATATCTAGACACTCTTTGCTACTACTGACTAGAGAGTGAAGTCATTATACACTACAATAGCAAAAAATATATCACATATTATGCACTTGTGAATAAACACTGTGCTGGACGGAAAAGTATATCTGTTACAGTGGTAGAGCCTGTTGAGAATATATATATTCCTATTTTTTCCAATATGTGTGTGACATTAGTTTCCTAAGAAATTTGAGGTACAAAGTATATGAAAATGTTTATAAGACTTATCTAATAGACCTCCTTGAGAAAACAAAGAAAGAAAAAAAGAATAAAAAAGTGCATCCATTTTTGTACTTAAATTACATAATCATAACACTATGTAATCATATATTACATAATCATAATACTTAAATTACATAATACTATAATATAGAAAGAAAGAAAGAACGAAAAGAAAAGAGAGAGAAAAAAAATCATAAACTAAAACTTATTCTGGCAACAAATCGTCACCCAATTCCTCATCAGCAAAGTCATCCTCATCTTGTTTTCTTCTCAAGCTTGTCTTTGGGCGTTCTTGCAGCGGGCCTAAGGGATCCACATAGCTGCTGTCTGTTTTTTAAAATAAGTATGTTACAATTAAGGAAAAAGTGAATAAAATGAAGCAGAAAAAAAACACCAATAAATGAAGATCATTAATTGATGAAAATAAGTCATGAAAATATATATATATATTTTTTTATGAATATTCGTGCATTAATCAAATTTCACTTACCAACTTCTTTGTTAGATGGCACAAATGGCTCATTCTCATCAAGATCATTAAGTGAAAGGCGTGTCATTCTGCCACTCATGGCCGAGCCTGGGATACTGCGAGAACCTCGGGAACTTGCTCTGTAAAACATCATTATATCAATGTAAATAACTTCTTGCTTGATGTTTTATGATAAAATGAAATGCTGTGACATAATGGCAGAATCTAATGGTTGTCAATGTGAGGTGAACAATGACTTTTTCTGTTTGTAAAGTATTTCATGAAAGTCCGTGCAGGTTACCACTACATCTCATCTTGCACAATGGTCCCACATTTTCTAGATATTGTTTGACCAACTCTATATTTAACATCTCCTCTGTTCATTCACTCTTTTTCACTGGTCAGGAACAGGTCAAACATTTTGCTTTCCCCACACATTTTCTTACCTAGCACCTGGACCTGGACTCTTGGGAGGTAAAGCCCCTGGTTCCTCGTGGCCAGAGGCAGCTGAGCCACTACGTGAAGCCCGAGAAGAGGATCTGGAGGTTGCAGTAACAATGGTACTCAAGAAGGGCTATAAGTCAAACTAAGTGCGGGACAGGATCCTTCTACTCACTGTGCTTCATAACTACTGTATAAGATGCAGCCTTGTTTTCTACTACATATCCCTGTTGTAGTGTTTTCATGGATTACTTGGATTGACACATAAGTGTAAATACAGATAACACTGTTGAACATGGGAGTCTACATGCGCTAAAAAAAAAAAAGAATGTTGTATAATGCAAATATTTTGAATAATAATTCTGATTTCACATGCACAAAAAGACGTTACCAAGTCATGAATTTTGGCAGCTAGATTTTCATAAAAAGTTTTTTTTATTTTATTTTATTTTTCACAAAAGTTGCAAGATGTGTATTCTACCTCTGTTGCAATATGAATATTGAATCATATGCATTATAGCAGACTTTCATAGCAGAGTACTGCCTAGGCCAATCCTCGTTGGGGCTAGCTGGCAATAGGGAATTGTGACTTATGATCTAATGCTGAAGAGAACAGCAGGCAAAGGAAGATAGTCCTCAGTTACTAGTTTGTATATCATAATGGATATTTTTACTGAGGGTAAGACTATTGTCTTATTACAGATGGTGAATGGTTAGGTGAATGACTTAGAGTAACAATTATAGATGAGTAGATATTCCATGTGGCTATGTTTTATCCCAAAAAAGAGAAAAAAACATTACATTATAAAGGAACATTACCAAAGATAGTAAATACCTAAAGATAAAACAATATGGTCAAATTATAGTGCAGTAAAAGTAATAACAATGATACTTATACATAAAACTAATAAAAATCAATTACACAATTCAGTAACCAAAGGACAAAATGTCAAACATATTCTAATTGCTAATGAGTTCTACAATACTGCTTTAAACATAGAATAACAAACTCATATAACCGTAAATCCTAAATAACAAAGCAAAATCAAGCCCCTACAACAAAAACAACTTTCTGACCTTCGAGATCCAGGACGAGAGCCACTGGCAGCTCGACTCTCACGCTGCTCTTGAGCTCTTTCGGCCTTCTTCAGCTCTTGGGCATACTCAGCTGTTTCCTTTAATCCCAGGTCACTGCTGAGTCGAATCAGCAATTTCAGACCTGATATGGAAGAATCATTCTACTTATTCTACTTATCTCATTTATAATCCCCCCTCAAGAAAGTGCTTCCAAGCTAATCCATCTATCTTCACAATATTAATCAAATCCATGAACTGAAAGTAAAGAATTATACAAACACTCTATATTTTCTGGGAATCTTCGATGGATCTGCTTGTAGGTCTGCAATGCCTGTTGGTAGTTGCCTGACCGTCTGTGACATGCAGCCACCATCAATTGCCACTTTACTTCATCAGGTTGCATCAATGCAGCTCGTTCAAAGTAACTAATTGCCTTTTCTGCAACCTGGTGCTCAATGAAGTAGGATCCCAGCCAATCAATCACTTCCAGGTTGCTTGGGAAATATCTGTAAGACTGGAAAAATGGGAAAATTTTTTACTCTTGCAATGAATTATACACTGTATATAATTTACAAAATTAGTATTAACTGATTTCAAGATGGCAATTCTATTCAGAGAAGATAAGACTCACATCAAAATAATATTGGTATCCTTGTTGCTTGTCACCTTCTGTGTCAAAAAGTTGGCCCAATCGCTGATGGATGTGAGGATCAGTTGGAACCAGACCAAGCAATTGTAAATACCTGAAAATTTTTATCAACAGTTACAAGTCAAATTCCTGATTATAGTGTAGGTAATACAAGTTGGACAATAAAGAAATAATACAATATTGGTTCAATCCATAAGAAAGTGCATTGCTTTCTAACTTTATTTCAATGAAGATGAATATAATCATACATTAATCCTTCTAACCAAAACTTCATCATGAAACTCAATCCAAATGAAATGAAATCTTAAATATCCCAAGTTTTTAAATCAATTTCATTTACAAACAATTTCTTTTACAAACTAATTTCAATAAGTTTGTATAAAAGTAACAACTGTTAATTAAATTATAAGCTCTTTACAACCTATCAAATAAGATGAAAGAGCTGAAAATATGATAAACAGTAAATGATAGATAAAGAAGGCCATAGGATCTAACCACTCAGAAGCCTGGTCGATGTCACTAAGCTCTTGATACAAACTGGCAATCTGGTAGACTACTGGTGGATAATTGCGAACAATGGCATGCATTTTCAGCAAGGAGTCAAGTGCCTCTTCGTAACGTCCAAGTTTCTTGTTTGTTAGTCCTGTACAAATGGGAAATTCTGTAAGACTTGTGGTGAAAGGAAGGAAAAGAACAGAAAAAGAAAAACAAGAACAACATGAAATAAAATGCTCTGCTGAATAACAGCATAAAAAAAAAAATCACTTTAAAAGGAATTAATAATAATGACCAGTCACACATTATTGATAGTACTAGAAAAAGCAACCATCAGGCAATACCAACTCCAATAATCCTATAGTTGATATGATAAGATCATCCTTTCCCTTCACCTGGTGCTGCCTATTACTTATCTAGTTTCTGTAAAACAAAACATCACTTTCAGCTTGACTACAAAAGGCAACTATACCTTTCCTGTTCACTGACATTAATTTCTAAATAGTATTTTTTCAATACAAATTTCTTTAAATACAGTAGAGTTATCCTAGACTCCAAAAATCATGCAAAATAATTTCTTGGCAACCTGAAAGGGTAGAATGTTTGCTAATTTACATGGATTCCACTTTTTTAACAATTACTATGTAAGTGATTTGTTGCCTAAGGGCTGCTTTTAAATTAACCTAATGTCACCAGGGATGACATGTATGCACATGTCATGGCCACTGAGAGTTTAGTTTGTATTCAGACATAGATGGCACCCTAAGTGCTTAGTCACCAAGGAGTCCTTTACTAATCCTACCTATCTCACCTGTTTACCATTTTTCTTGGTTTTTCAATTTCTTTTATTGTTATTAGTATTGTTAATAACACTATAATAATCATAATTTCAACAACAATAACAACAATAATAATGATCATAGCATCAATGCTAATAGCAATAAAAAATAAATAAAACAAGTTTCCTTAAAACTCAATGAAAGGGGATATCTGGTTTACTAGTGTACTCCCAGGTTGCTGAGCACTCCTGGAGCTATCTTTGTGTAAACATATTTCACAAAACAATACTACAGTGTACATCATATGTTCCTGGAATCATTGGGTTAATCTAGAAAAATCTATTGCTCACTCTATGAATACTCATCATCACAAAATTATTTTATCTCCACTGAAAGAAATGCAAAGACATAAAATGTCATATAACTATTTGAATTTAAAACTTGATTTTGACCATTCATCATATGCTGTTAAGATCCTCAAATAATGCAAAAGACTGTGCACTCAATAATTACTAAGTATATTACTTTTGTCACCCTTTTGGGTAAACCTCTGCACTCAAAAAACAAAAATATGACAATTACTCTTTTCATGACTCCATATTATAAAAGCATTTCTGAATTAACATGAATGTTTTAATTTATGCAATAATAAGTTAAGTTCTCTATTTAGGTCTTTTACCCAGAGTTTATAGCCCAAAAACTGCAGGCCATTTTCACTTATGTACAATGATACTTTCAAATATGGTTTATAGAACTGAATCAAAAACAGATAACTGTGGAGTATCTTTTTTTATTATTAATCATGAGCAAAGGATCATTTGATAGAAATGCAGTTTCATGATGAAAGCAACAGCAAATATGTTCATAAAAAATCTTGTAAAATTTTATTTTTTCCTTGAAGTATTCACCGTTTACAGCGATGATATATACATAAAAAGTCAGTGAAAAGAATCACAATAAATCAATGCTTTTTATCCTGCAGTTCTTACCAAGATTGTATAGAGCTTCTACACAAGATGCATCTATGTCCAAAGCAGCTATGTAGTGCTCACGAGCTTTCTCATAATCTTTCCTCTTGAAGCAGCAGTTCCCTAAATTCACGAGGGCAGAATCATTGTAGCCATTGGAATCCCTTGCCATGAGGGCATATTTTTCAGCCAAGTCAATTTCATTTTGCTGTGGAAAAATGGTTTGTTGTAAATAATTTAGAACCTAACACTGTAAAAATCTACATCTGATTTATCATTTATTTCTGAAAACTAACTAAATATTCATTAGGGTAACATGAACACATTT